CATATATTTTTTGTGGCAACCCTTTCTGGGGGAACAAGACATCTCTGTCCCACTACAGCTCAGCAGTTGGAGTTGGTTCAGCATTATCCTCTGAGAGGAGAGGGTTATCAAGGGTGGGGTCTTTCCTTGTGTTATGATGTGGGGCTGGATAACACTAGCAGCAACTGAAATAGGAGGCAGATCTGTCAGCAGAAGAATTAGCTTTATATATTATGAAATAACTGCATTCATCTCACCCTCTGTACAATATACACTGTGCACAGTTAGCTAGGTGCATGACAAGGGTTATTTCTCTTTCTTTACAGTGTTTATATTATTTCACTACACTAATTATATCTCTTAACCCAATATAATTTTGTGCCACCACAAAACATAGTATGGCATCTTAGATTGATTGTCCTTAGTCAGTACCATCAGATTCTGTAAGCTAAAAAATTACAGGGAAGTTTATAGCAAGATAAGAAATTAATGCTAATTTTAGGTTTCCCAATTGCCACAAAATCTCAAGAGAATGAAACAGGATTATTTTAGATTTGGGCATCAGAGTTTAGTAAGTTTTGAAATATTAGTAGGAGACCAGAGATTGGTCCAGATGGCTGAGGGTAAAGGCCAAGCCAAGTGTGTCTGAAACCCTCAAATTTAAACACTAAGTGGGGCTTTGGGCAGGATCTGTGTTTCTTAAAGGACTTTAGAGAAAAGGCTTCCTTTCATCTTGACAATTAAAAAATCAAAACACTAAACAAAAAAGCCTCAAGTGCAGGGTAAAGAATAGCAGCAGTACAGCTCATTCCTTTACACATTACACTGAGTACGGTGTACTATTTTTTGATGTTCTGACACATAGACATTTCGGTTCTATTACTGTTCTAAGCAGCAATACCTTACTGGCCACCTGTGTCTTGGAGGTTGGGTTGAAATCCTTGGAGCTGGTGGCTACATGAGCTGCTTCCACTCAGGATCACTGTAAAGAAGTGACTTTAAATGAGCAATAAAAGAACTAAAATTAGGTTTATACTCTCCGTTAATGCTGGCATGCATTGTCAAAGATGGTTTTTCCATGCCAGACACCCAGGAGCTTGTGCTGCCTGTAGATACTGCTGGCATAGTGGGCAGGGTGGAGTGGGAGGACTGGTGTGACCATAACCCCATGACAATGTGACCTTGATTCATTCCTAAGTAGAAAGGCACATCTGCAGCCCCAAAATGGGTTTCACTGTCAAATGTTTTCTGAGGATGACCCTGTCAGATTAATGCATACAGGGACATGTGCATGCATCCATCTGAAGGGAAGACCACACAGTACATTTTTTTAATCTCTCTGCTGGCTGGAAGAGGCTTGGAGGCATGACATGGCATGGAATTTGAAAACCACTTGTCTTCTGTACACATCTGCTATCTTAGCAGGTTAGGGCACGCTCATTTTCTGGCTTGCCTTCAACAAAGCACAAACAATCTGGGAGGTTCTTGGAAAGTATTGATGGTAACTTTTTCATAGAAGAGGTGGAGAAGCCAATGACAAAGGTGTACTGTTGCACCTCATATCAACAACAAATCTTTGAAAGGTTGTTGTGACCAGGAGAGGTGCCTGAAAGCTGGAAGAAAGCAAATATCACCCAGTCAAAGGGCAAGAAGGAGGATTCAGGGATCTACAGGTCAATCAGCATCACCTCAATCTGAGGTCAGGCAAATCAATCACTACTCAGGCTGGATTAGTGCTGACTTGTATTATTTCAGTGTGAATCACCAGATGCTTGGGTGATTAGGGCCATTGCCAAAGCTATTTCATTAAGTTGCTTTGTAGGATGATTTTGTTTTCTGTCTGGACAGTTTCTGCTGGAAAGACCTGTTGTAGCCTGTCGACTTGGATGAACATCTTGGACTACCTAGGGAGAATATACCCCTAAGGGTGATGTGGGAGAAAAGGCAGTTTTCAAATGCAGTGGTCGAATTATGTCACATTAGCAAGCAAAACTGTCAGCCTCCAGCAGAATACTTGGAAGAAGGAGGGACGTGTACAGAGGTGTACAGAAAAAAGATCCAAAATGTTTCTGTCCTGCAAACAGTTTCCAGTCATCATAGTGGAGAAATACCAAGCAATTAATTGACTACAAGACAATTATCTCTTCTGCCAATTGTAACAATTACTAATTTCTTTGTATTTATGCATTCATTTCAAAATACTGTGTTTGTCACGTCACAAAGAGTTTGCAGTGGGAAAAAATGGTAGCTGGGTGAATGAACACTCCACATCTTGTCTTGTGTACTGAACTTCATGAACTGACTTCTTTGGAGTGTTTGAAGTGCAGAGAAATAAGCAGAAAGCTGTGGGAACAAAGCTTCACCCACAATGTCTGAAAGCTGGGGACTGAATTTCTTCTCATTATTGTGTAGGCTGCTGGGCCCTTATTTCAGCAGAAACCTTGGGGCATGACTATAAGTAACAATAGCTGTAAATACAATAATCTGTAAACTGCATGCATCTCAGCTTTATTAGGAAAAAAACCTAAAGACAATAGCCAACAAGCAGCAAACTCATAATCCCAGGAGTAAAATTTAAAGACACATTTTAGTTTTACAAGGTAAGCCTGGAAAATACTTGGAATCAAAAAGGGTTTGGTGTCACTAGCATTTGATTTTCACTGCATAGAAACATCTTTCCATGATGGGCAGAGGTAACTACCAGCTTTCCATATTTATTGTATGTTAGTTATGTGGCATGTGTAGCTGAAGCTTGTGCACCTTTGCCCATGTATCCTCTCTGTAGCCGTGGCAAGGGGTTTTAACCCTTTAAGTGCAGCGGAAATGAGATGCACAGCTACGTGGTTGTCTTTCATGATAGAAAGAAAGAGACAAGTTTATTCAGAAACACACTTGGTTTTATAGCATGACTTGCAATTCCAAGAGTAAAGAAAAGGTGATTGGTTCAGAGACAAGACACCTCATTGCCAGGGCCTGGTCACACACCACAACAGGTGTTCTATCTTGTTATTAATTCCTTTTTATTTTGACTAAATAATCACCTTGGGAGAAATTCTCCCTAGCCTTGAGCTGGACCAGCTTATCGGCTGGGAACAGAGCTGAAAATCTCCAGCCTGGATTATTTTTCAGGCTGTAATATTCTTACTTTCTCAATATGTGTCCCTTCACCTCTCTACTCTAATTTACTGTGTAAATTTACATCCTGTCCATTTAGAGCAGTGGAGTCATTATGATCCTTAATTAAAAATACATGAAGTAGAGGAAATGAGAGATTAAGACTACTTTGGTAATCCTCAAAATGCAAAGGCATTATTAGCATTTAACAGTCGTTGCTGGCCGTGTCATTTCTAAATGCTGTAATTAGCAAATAAAAAGGAAATATTAAACTCTGCACCCATATGGATGGTGCAGCTTCAAACACATTCCTTGTAACACATTCCAAAAGGGAATCCACCAATATAAAGGTCTTTGGTCAAGTCCCTCCATGGACAGAATTTTACCCTAGAAGACCAAGTTGTGTTTCTATGGAGCAGTTTAATTGCATATGTCTGGACTTAAACAAAAGAAATGCTTGTAAATTCAGCCATGAATCATTATTTTTCTGTTCCCTGATAGGATTGCTGTTGTTTCATTGTCCTCTTCTTGTTTTGCTTTGTTGCCATTGCTAGCTCCAGAATTTCTGGAATATCTTTAACGTCTTCTCTGAGCGTTTCTGCCTTTATTCATCTTCAGAGAAACACTTGTCTAGAGATCTTTGTTCCTAATCAACAATGGCACGTCCCCAACATAACATTGCTATTATAAAGCCATGCCAAATCATGGGGATTCACACACTCCCAGCACCTCTCAGCTTTACTCCATTTGCTCCTCAGAAGAAGCACTGCTGAACCATGTTAATTGCAGAAATGTCTGTTAAGAAGCAGTTTAAGTCAAGAGTTTCAGCAAATAAAGGAAATTCCAGAGATCTCAAAGTACCTTTTACTGTGATATGTTATGACTGCACACTCACTTTCCTCAAACCATGTAGTTTAGTGCAAAGCTCTTTTCCACTCTGCTGATAAAATTATGAAAAGGATGTGGAGTCATGTTCCCAGAGGATCATCATCAATTAGGTTCTTCCCAGACTGATTGTTCATCTTTTTCTCCTGCTCATGCAGATATTGCCCCTGCATCAACCTTTCCACAGTGGAAAGCGTCTTTGCTCTTCATATAAATATTTATGTTGGAAAAACAGGCAGTACAAATGACTTGACATTTTTGGAAAAGATGATGTAGGCCCTTGTGGTAGGATGGGGAAAGACAGAGTGAGTCAGGAGATCTTGATTCTCATGTTTCTTTAAACCTTCCTCGAAAATGGGTCTTGATTGTCTGTCTTTTATCTTAGGCAGAGACCTGTGGTTAACAAGATATTTCTGAAGATTAAACCCCACTGTCATGCTTCCCTACAGAAAGGCACTTTTAGTCACCAATGCCAACCTCTTCTGCTCCAGCAAACACATCTGTTAAGAAAAGAAATACTATCAGCAGGGCAACAGGTGGCATATTACAGCCAATCTTGAAAGGTTATAATAAGAGGGAATATGTGTGAGCGAGAGGAGAAAAACTGAAAAAGAGGCGGACTAAGATGAAGGAAAAGGCAATGGCAAGTATTTTTCCTGCTACTGCACTTATAGTCTGCTGTAATAAAGGTCTGGTGAGTTTGCAACACTGGGGTAGGGTACTGCCTTGAAAATGCATTTGCCCATTGTGCTGTTCTCTGTTTGCTTAGGAGGAATTCAGAAGGGATTTGCTTTCTCTTGTTTCATGAGCCCCACGCTTTCACACTGACCAAAGTGGATACACACCAGCTGGCCACGTCCATCACCACCACTGGGTGGGAGAATTCCTGATTATACTTAGATCTCTCAGACCCCACTCTGTCACTCGCTGAGAAGCTCTGCTTGCACACTGCTTCCGAAATGCAGCCGGCTGGGAAGTCTGCACGCCTTGCCTGAAGGAGCTGGATGCCTTCAGGATCAAACATGAATGACCTGCTGAAGGTGCCCCTGGTGCACGTCCTCACCCTGGCAGCCTTCAGCTTGGCTGAGACACTTCTGAAAGGTTTGCTTGGAGGGGCTTTTCCCCCGCTCTTCTTCTTCCATTTGCTGAAGGAGGTTTGGCACGGGGGAAGGTATCTTTGCTAATGGTGGGGTGGGTGGTGCTGTAGCATTCCCAAAAAAGACAAAAACGATCTGCTTTCAATGGTCACTTCTCTGCTTTTAGAAGGATAGCAGTGAAAATATTCTCTTATTTGTGTTTGGAATTGAAGGATTTTGTCTGTGAAGGGCACATTGTAATAGGGAGGGGAGGCCTTTGGGTTCAGCCAGGGTGGGATGTAAATTTCTCATGTGAAAGAAAGCTCAGAAGCGTTAATGACTGGTAGCACCAGTTGCTGCAGAGCCCAAGACTTGTTGTGTTCAGCACATCTGTATAGCTTTGCAAGCACATAAATCTTAAAAAGAAATAAATATCTATGATATCTTTACAAGCAATATGTATATAAGTACAAACATGCACTGTTTGTTACAGTATGTAACATAGAAGTTATCATACCTTCTTCCTATCTTGAGTGAACAGATGCATATGGGCATATACATATGTACTTTTAGCCAACAAAAGAATTGGTAAAAAGTCTGTTTAGAAAAGTCTTTCAGGTATGAAATGCAACTCTGGTACCATTCTGGATGTACTATTTGGTAAAACTGCAGACAACAATTTTTGCTGAATGGTGATGGTCCAGTGCAATTCAACACTTACTAGAAACTTTGCAGCTTCAGGAAAACAAAATGAAATCTTAAGGGGAATGCCCTTAAGAACTCACACGTTAGGCCAACATTGCTGCTCTTGCAGGGCTGTGCTTTTACAATTGTTAGGTTATTCCAAAAACGAAAAAAAAAAAAGGATCTTCTTTATAAAAATATTTTGAAATGAAAACGTTAGTATTTTCCTCAGGCACTGAAGTAAGTTTGTGAACTTTATGCTTTTCGAATGTTGTGGTAAGACAAGTGGTATTGGAGAGAGAAGAAAAATGAAGAGGATGGGGATAGATTTTTTCCTGATGTCATGGTGTAATGAACAGATACATTCCCTTTTCAAGGACATCACAGCTGAGCTGGTTTTTACCATAGGAAATGCAGTTTCTCCAGGTGTTTGCAATGTTGCAGAGGGACTGGTTCTGTTTTCTGCACTGTTTTGTTTGCCTGGTTGATCTGGTTTCGAAAGTGTGAATCCAAATCCAAAGCCAAGACATTTGGAAGCTTCTGGTGGGCTGGGGATAGAAGGGGATTTGGCTTTCTCATGGTCCCGTGACCAGCCTTGGGTCATTTTTCTATCTCGGGAAACTACAGCTGACATCCAGAAAAATGGCACCTGTGTGGCTTTACACATACATTAATTTATTTTCAGTTTATTTAGAGCCACAAAGATACCTTTAAAAATGTCAGAAAGCCCCAGTATATTCACGTGTAAAAGCCTGGCTCCATTTCAATGTGATGATATTTCTATACGTTTTTCAGATTTTATTTTCCTATGTTAAAAATTGGTAAAGCACGCATCATAAGTTTAGAGTGCTTTCTGGAGAAAACACGGACTGACACCAGCCCCAAGCTGTTTGGATGGCTTTTAGATGTAAGTACCATCTCAGCCATTTTGGGACACTGTTGCCACCTCACAAAATGACGGCGTGCTCCGCTGCCCACCGTCCTTACTTGGGTTAAATATTACAAAGGAGAAAAGAGCATTTGAGAAAACGATACATCACTGCTGCTGTCATGGTTGCTCTCTGAGGATGTAGAATTTGGGAAGGCAGCTTTAAAATAACTTATTTTCTTGTTACTCTAGTGCTGTCAGTTTGGACACTATTTTCTTGCAAGCATGAGCCTTGATTCTGCCCAAAAAACTGTATGCTGACTTTCAAAAGGTACCAGCTCAGACCATGTCTATGCAATATGCTGTCATCTATTGAATAAAAGACACACTTAAAAGTATGTAACTGTTTCTAGGGAATTTATTTAATATAGAACAGGTCTTGTTTGCCCAAAGAACAAAATAGTGTCATTATGCATACCAGTTCTTGGTACAAATGTAACTTCATTACTTGTGGAAGTGGCTGTGTTTATTGTTATAACAGTTATAAAACTGGATGCTTTGAGTTATTGTTACTGTAAAAATTTACATTTCTCAGAAAAACATCCTTCCAGAGATCAAGGAATGTGGACAACAGCAACAAAAACATACTGTATAAAACTAGATGGCAAACCTCTGGGGTTAATGCCATCAAACCCCAATAAACTCTGTCACGAAACAGCAACATCACATTTAAAGTAGACAGGATAACCATCAGTGGGGGTTATTCTCCTAAGACAACCTTCAGTAGTAGCAAAATGAAGACTTTATAGAAATCTTCCATTTGGCTTCACTGGGATTCATCTGGGGAAACAATACAGATGATTATTTCTGTTTAATAAGACCCAAAATGGCCTAATAAAATGATGCATGATAGAATTTGAAGCAATAATCTTAAAAAATGAATTCGTCACAGACTCCTTCTAATTGAAGTTTCACCCATATGATCTTTAGAGCTATCTTAGATGTAGTTTGGAGATTTACATAAGTATAGTCATTACTGTTCATGATACAATCCAAAGTCATTCAATCTAGAAATATTATTGAGGCAGATTCATTCTAACGGAACATCAAAAGCGTTTAGAGTTTTACATAGACCTGATAGTGGAAGCTGATCCTTTCTTCCTCTAGCTTCATTCCAGCAGAACTCCAAAGACATTCTAATTTTGACTTCCATGTAAATCAAAAAAAAGATAAAGGTATTGACTTTCTATTATTCTCAGTCACTTAAATCTGAATGTCTTTTCTTTCACCCATTCCTTAGGGAGTGAAGGGTAAAACGGAATTAATTTTTTGCCTGAATTTGAATCTCATTGTATTAAGGAGGGCTAGTAGATACACAGCTGTTGGGATTCTCTGTGAAAAATAGTGGGCCAGATACTGCTACACTCTGTGCAAAAAGGAGGACTCCTGAATCCATGATATATTTTCAAGGTAGTGTTTCAGGAATATGGTAAGATCTAGTTTATCTCAGCACAGTTGTCAGTGAAATCCAGTGTCTCTTGCAGCCATTGATCAAGACATTCAAGTGTTTTTGAAGGCAGTGGCTGCAATGAATACCATGAACGGGGAAAGTGAGTGGCTAGGCTTATGCTTTGATCCCTTCCAGCTGTGCTTCAAGTCTTTCACCAGAGCAATGGCAAATGTTTCTAAAGATACATTCAAGTAATGTATGACAACAGGTCTGTGATAAGCATTAGATGTAACTATTCAACTTCTAACGCTCATGCTACGTGGTAAGAAACTGTGAGAAAAAGAGAATGTGTCCTAGTCATAACACAAATCTGAATGGCCTGAATGGTCTTTGTGAGCCTGGCTTAGAAAAATATAGTGTTATATAATGGGTTTGGTGTTCGTATATAACAGGTTTTGATGGTTTTCTTTTTGTTGTTTGCTTCGTGGGGTTTATATTTTTTGTTTGTTTTTGTTTTTTGTTTGTTTGTTTATTTGCTTTTGTTTTGTTTTGGTTTTTTTTAAGATAAATAGTTGAGTGAATAAATCCTGTAATAATGACAAAAAAGCCCAGATCTCATGCACTAATAAGGAGGCACTCTTCCCACTGCAGGGACCGGTCAGTTTAGCTTCAATTTGTGTGCTGCCCCTTGCACTTCCAGCCCATGAACACCACCCTGCTAGCAGTAGGACAGACTCACTTTTGTCCTTGCAGTATGCTAACCTATTCTGTGAGACTCAAGGAAGAGGTAGGTCAGAAACACAGGATGCACTGAGCTTGTTGGAGCTTGGTTTGCTCTGTTTTGCACCTTATGGAGAGACCTCAAGGGAAAATGCCATTGAGTGACCCTGCAGGGACATGGCTCCTTCCACCAAGGATGCTTGGCAGGCTCTGTAACTCTCCAGTAAGCATCAGAAGGTGTTCTCATTTTCTCTTCTTCACACAGCTCCCTTGATCAGCACTCCTCTGGAAACAGTGGATGCCCTGGTAGAAGACGTTGCCACGTTTGTCTGTGTAGTGGAGTCATATCCTGAGCCAGAGATTACATGGACACGCAACAGCATTCCCATCAGGTAGGGAGCACACCCAGCCCTCATCAGTGCCTTCTGCCAAAATTAGCAGTGCTTACTTTCATGATACAGGAGATATCTGGGTAAATAAAAATGGGTCTGTGGCAGAAGAGAGAAATGAGTGACTCTGATTATATAGGATTCTGTATTTCTGAGGGAGTGGTAAGACCCCTTGGGGGTTGCTCTTGCACCTTCACACACTTCATCTTGCAGAGAGCTGGTTTCTGCTGCAAGCTATGCAAGGAGTTTTCTCTCCAGCTTCAGACAATTCAATCTGCTCTCTTCCTCAGTTTATGCATTTATGAAGGAGGAAGGTACTGTAAAATATTTAAAAGGAGCTTGTCGTCTGTCTCAATGTACTTGGAAACATTGCATAGAAGGGGTTGTGCTGTGCCATTCTTGTTTGTTTCTAGTTCTGCATCTCGAAATTGTCTTCTCATTGTTATGCACTGACAGACATTAACCACCAGGCATCAAGACATCAACAAAGAAGGCAGCCTTCTGGAAGTGTGGAAATGTGTTACAGGAGTTGCTACCATTGCTTTTGCTCTTTTGCCATAAATGGATTTCTACAAAGTAAACAGTTCTTGATCTTCTAGCTCTGAAATCATATTACATCTGCCACATGGCTTTGCATCAGTTTCTCATTCTAAATGGCTGTAAGCGACTTCCTCTGTGGGGGAAAATGCAGCACAATCTTTGTGTAACGTAGTCAATACCCGTCCTCCACAGGAGATGTCCATGGTGGGTAGATGGCCACCTGAAGCACAGTTCTCCCTATTGTGGTCAAACTCCAAAAAGCCTTTGCACCACTGGCATAGGAGGCTCCAAATAAGTCAGCAGCAGCAGGAGGTCTCACTGCTTGGAAAACTGCTTTAGAGTAAGACAAAGCAGAAAGTTACAAATATAATATAGACCTTCTGATTTTTTTTTTAATTGTCTGGAATCTCAGCAAAATCTGTCCCTAATCTTCTGACCCCGGCTTTGTTCTAGCATGGCGATCTGAACTTCCATGGATGTTATTTCCAAATCAGGTTACCTTTCTCCTAATTCCTTCCCCATCAATGACACCAGGACTGAAAATCAAAGCAAGGAGAGAAAGCCATCTATGAAGGACTGTCTTTCTCTCCCCACGTCTTTAAAATGATCATTCTCCATGTGTTCTAAGATAATTTGAAATCCAGATCATTTATCATCTCAATCCCCTCTTTCAGAAGCTCAACACATCTTTCTTAAAGCCATTCCACAGTCTCTCTGAGACAAAATGCTTTGACCAAAATGAAAAATAGATATTAAAACACCTTTTCTGTAAGGCCACAGAGCTCATGTGCTTCATTCTTTTATTGGGACTTCTGAAGCAGCATTAATAACAGCAAGTGTTTCACTTTCACAAGGCATTAATATTCATTACTGCTGGATACAAAAGCTCAGACCAAAGACAGTGGGAAAGATAAGCTGAATATATTTGTTACTTTCTAAAAACTCAAATGAAAGCATTTGCACAATGGAAAAGCATCAGATCAGAAGATTCTTGTTCCTGAAAAAAACCCAAATGTATTTCTGTGTCTCTGTGTGTGTGTGTGTATCAAACTTCAAAGGGCCTAGTTATTGAAAGCAATTAATATCAGCTATTTCATTTTCAAAATGATCTTCTCTTGCCAAGGTCTCCGCATCCTGGACAGACGAAAAGATTAAACTTCAAAACAAAACATTATGTAAACTTTCAACTTCAATGGGACTAGAGACAGGACAGAGAATACAGTCAGCCTTAAGTCTTCTGGATGTGCCTTTACTTTTGATATCAAAACTTTTGCAAGTAAACCAGCAGGTGCCCTGTGCTGAGTGAAATGGTTACCTGTGCCATATTCCAGAACAGGGCTGCCCACAATGAACCTTTCTTATGACAAGAAGAGGACAGAGTCAGCATGTCTTTTACACACAGATGATTTCATGGAACTCTTTTTTCCCACCCTGAAAAAGAGGAGGGAGATGTAATACTGAATGGCAAAATGCTGTTGAAAGGAAATACTTGCTTAAAACATCATAAATGGTACCTTCAGATTAGTCAATGACTACTGTACAATTTTTAACAGTAAAAGACAAAACCTGACATATGTAGTGGTCAGATATTTGTGATTACTTGGGACAAAATCCTCAGGTCAGAACCTTTTGCCACTGTTCATCAGAATCAAAGTCCAATTGCATGGAAACACTTCCTAAAAGCATCAACAAATGTGTGAAAATAAAACACAAAGAAATTTTCTATTCGCAGTGTGTCTATTTATACTATTTATTTATATTTATTGTAGTTTTGCAGTTTTGCAATGAAAATCAATAGCTCAGCCCTCTGATTTCTCACCATCTTTCTGCTTTCCCTGGCTCTCACACTTGGATACACACATGCCCTCTACTCACATACCACATTTCTCTGGTCATACTCAGATATGAAATTGGTCTTTGCTCCACATGCTTTCTTACAACATCCTGTATTTTTGTTGCTCTGGCTTCAGGGCTTTCTTCAGTTCTCTGAAATATCCAGGTTAAACCCTGCTGTCATTAAACTACAGTTATCCTTGAATCCTCTAACTTTCAGATGGCTTCAGCACATTTCCTTGCTTGTTGGTTGGTTAGGTTTCTTTCTCTAAACAAATAGACAAAACTACTATGGATGCAGACACAAAAGTTCATGGTTTTTGGTTTGTGTCTTTCCACAACTGTAAAAATATTTCCAGAACTTTATCTATTTAAAAAAAAAAATATTGTGGGTTTTTTGTTTTTGTTATGTTTTTTTTTTCTTTCATTTATCCTGAAGGTTTCTTTAAACAATTTCAGCCTGCTCTCGCTCCTATATAAGCATCTCTCTCTTACATTGAGCAATTATGCCTAAAACAGGACCTAGTTGGAAAAGATTATTTGTGCCCATGCCTGTCCTTGGCCAGTCGAAACCCCAAACATACCTCCTTATTTTACTGATAACTGGGTGGAGGAAAAATTGCTACTAGAGTAGTGGCAGTCAGGAGCTACATGGTCTAGTGACAACCTGAATCTTAAGATTGAACTCAGCATTTTAAGCACCTTCCCTTCTGCTTGTGGTTTGAAAATTGCTATCTGCAGGGACATCAGCAGTCTGCATATTCAAATGCAATTCCCTTTCTCTGTCCCTGGTTGTCCCTGACAATCTGTGCTGTGTCCTGCAGGCTGTTTGACACACGGTACAGCATCCAGAGGAACGGGCAGCTGCTCACCATCCTGAGCGTGGAGGACAGTGACGATGGAGTGTACTGCTGCACAGCAGAGAACGGAGTTGGAGCAGCTGCACAGAGCTGTGGGGCTCTCCAGGTGAAAATGCGTAAGTGGGAATGCAATTTCTTCCTGACGCCACGTGAGTGAGCAGAGTCCCGTGTGTGGCACCTGGGGATCCATGTTCAGGGCAGAGCCACTCTCATGAAGGGCAGCTCCTCATGAAGCTGGGTGAGGTCCTTTGAGTCAGAGATGTGGCATATGGGATCATAATTTAATGATTTAATGCAGTTGGGATTATTCACTTTGAATAACATTCACTTGGTATACAATCAGAAGACAAAACCGGATGCTTTGTGAAAAACTCTGTAAAAGAGGCACGGTTTGATAGGTTAGACCTCTGTGGCAATACTGCATAGATCTCTGGTGAATTTTAAATGTAAAATTTCACTCATTGGATTTCTTCCGGAGGATGGCAAAATCAACTAAATTATCTTCAGATACTCTCAACAGCAGTGTTGCATGACTTGGAGCACTATGTTGTAAATCTCATCATCCCACACAGAAGGCAGAAGACTTGTTCTTGCAGAGAGCTACATATGTGCCAAAGATTTACTTGTGTCAGTAAAGCTGGACTCACATGGCCAGAGTTATTTACACGAACACTTTAAAGGGCAGCAAGGGTATATTATGGCTAAAGCATGTTTGTAGGAAAGGATTTGTCTGTGTTAATGAGATGACCCTCAGGGTCTGGTAATTCTGGAACTCTGCATCGTCCCAGTCACTTGCAGGTGTTGGGCAGGAGGTAATGCTCACTGAAGCTTGTTTTTCTGCTGGTTCATTATCATGCAAGGGCCTCAAAATGTCAGATCTCCCAAAATACTGAGGTGATGATCTTTTGTACTGTCAGCTCAGACTAAGACAGGCCATGTTCTTTCAGTAAAATGAATTTAAATTTATCCCTCATTAACTTTAAGGGAGTTTGATTGCTTTTTCTTTAAGGCTTGATTGTCCTTTTCACTAGCATAGTTATAAATCCTTCAGTTAAGGATATTAATTGTGTTTACATGCCCTTCTTGTTGAGCTAGAGGCAAGCCTGGGTTAAAATTTTTTCAAACTCAATTCAATCCAGAGATCTGAGCTTTGAGACAAGACCGTGTTTACGCAGTGAAGAATGTCAGAACCTGGAATGCTAACATTCTTCAATACTGGAAATACTCTTATCTGAATTTGGATTTTAGCCCAGGCCCTAATTCAAATGACTGTCAAACTCCACTCAGGAAAGCAAATTACCCACACGAGTTTTTGCATCCATAAACTGAAACTGAATGCTGTGCTGAAAAAAGTTCTTTCTTACCAAACCACTTCATAACCAGGAAAGACTGCTCTATCTTTCAGCAACACACAGAAAAAGCAGCGGTGTAATTTCTGAATTTGTCTCCTTCTATTATATCTTAGCTTCATTTCAACTTTAATTTTTGGCTTTTGAAATTTTAGGACCCAAAATAACCCGCCCACCTATAAATGTGGAAATAATAGAAGGGCTAAAGGCTGTTCTTCCATGCACTACAATGGGGAATCCAAAACCTTCTGTTTCATGGGTCAAAGGAGAAACAGTTGTAAAGGTGAGTAGAGGATGTTTTTCAGTAATGCTAATTATTTGCTAAATAGCCAGTGTTAAATACTAGCATTAGTTATAGTATTTGTAAATTGTAATAGTTAGAAAGGAGGCATTTGGAAAATCCAGGGCTCATCTCATAAATATCTTCATCTGCAATAATTCTACACACAAACCAAATGTTCTCTGTGTATCTATATTCTATGTGACATATGGTTGTTACTACTAAGTAAGAGGAAAGCACTAGTGGGTGCTCTCTTAAATAAGGGCTCCTTTAAAACTATAATTCACTGATGTGAAAAAATAGCAGTGGGTGAGTATGTCATGACCATACTGAGCAGGAAGAGCTGGCCTCAAATCCTTGAGTTGTAGTACAACATGTGTAGTGCTCATGCATGTAAACCCAAACTTTTTAAACAGATTTTTGATGCTGTTTGTGTGCAGCCTGCGTGTAGAGTCCTCACCTCAGTTGCTCCTTCCTCTGGCAGGAGACTGCTCGCATTGCTGTCCTTGATTCTGGGAATTTAAGGATACACAATGTTCAGAGAGAAGATGCAGGACAGTATCGTTGTGTAGCCAAGAACAGTTTGGGCACAGCCTATTCGAAACCTGCAACTGTGGTGGTGGAAGGTGAGTGACTTTTGAACCAGGCTCAAGCTCCATACATATGAGTGCCAGCCCCTCATGCATATCTAGTTAACTTGAATTAACCTGAAGTATTGTGTTGATGCTATCAAGACCACCCTAGAGGGTGGAGAGGAGAGGAGAGGAGAGGAGAGGAGAGGAGAGCTTTTGCTTTTGCTTTTGTAGACTTGAACATTTTCTGCCCACTAAATGAACACTAGATTGATTTTTAGTTTCTGGTTCTTATGTACTCTATGTCCAATTCTTATGTACAAAGGTATTTGCTTTGTGGTGTGAACCACCACCAGTTTCAGACTGCTGAGAACAGTAGAAGGGGTACCTAAATGTTGGAATGCAACAAGGCATTCTCTCTTTCTGAATCCTGTAAGAGAATTTGGTTTGGGCAAGGGCTTGTGGAGTGAGTGGGGGAATAGCTGATTTAGTAGATGAACTAATTTTTATTTCTGATTCTGGATGACTGTAATGCAGAAAGTAGAGAAGGGTCTTCATTTGCTTAGTAAGCTTCAAATTATTATTGTAAGTTAACATTTTGCCTGGAACTATCAGAGGTTACTTAATGTGCAATCCCATTTCTAAGAGGAACATGGATTTCCTTCCAGGAGCAGTATTGGGTATATTAGGTCCAACTACATGTTACACATTTGCCGTTTTCCTAAAAAAATGCATCAATTTTTCAGGGATTTTTTGTCCCTTCTTAATATTTATGCATACAGACCATGAGACAACTATTCTTAACTGAGATTCAGAGCTGTACTTCTCCCAGGCCAAATGTGATGAAGCAAACTGAAAACAGTTGGATCTTGAAGTGAACAGCTTGTGTCCTGGGTTTAATTTGGCCCCTGTCATTGAGACAAATGAGCAAAGGCTTGTCAAGAGACAAACCATGAATGGTAGATACTTGGGGCCACGAACACAAATGCTGAAGGACCTCCAGCACTGCAATTCTTTGCTCCAGATCTGCCAGAGTCAGTTAGGGAATCTAAAAACAAGCTAGAATTGCACCAAAAATCCAGGATGCTAAGGTTGATGTCTTGGTTTTTCTCTATCTCCAGAATTACATAGTGGCCTGTTAATTCAAGGACTGGCAAAATAAACCACAAATACCCCATTTAGGGTGTGTATGTGGGCTCTTTTTAAAATGAAGATTAATGATAGTGGCAGGTCAATGCTCCCACACAAATTATCCCCTCATATTCCATTCATGTGTTGGGTGAACAAATAAATCCTCTCCTCCAAGCTCACCTTGGTTTCTCTGGTAGGACACTTGAATATAATATACCTAATAATTGTATTATTCCCTAATGTAATATACCTAATTTCAGGCAGCCACCCAAACTAGACAGACACATGTTTGGTTTATATTTTTGGCTTCCAAAATCCAGTATTAATCCTGACTTAGAACATAGAGTGAACTGTGCGGGATCCGTTTGTTCAAACTGACAACAACATTAATAATTCTGATACAGCAGCCTGCTGTGTATACAAATCCCTTCCCCTCATGGTATTTTAGATTAATTTTCATGGTTATTTAGCATAACTACCTGTGTGCACACCTGTGTACGTCTGCAAGCAGGTATGCACACACATCACCCTCACATACCTCTTTAATTATTTTTAGTATCCCTCCCCTCCTGACTCTTCCACCCCATTAGTATCCACATTTTAAAATAACTCCAAGTAAATAATATACTAAAATTATTCAAGGCAGGAAAATCACACTCCAGTATTCTTTGAGCATTTATCATGTTCAGAAAACTTATGAAAATTGTTGTTTATTGCTTCTCTGTATTAAGATTACCATATTTAAAAAAAAAATCTTGGTTTTAGTATTTACTGGAGTCCCCAACCTGCATAGTGTAGCTTAATATTAAAATAAAATGAATAAGCATGGCTTGTTAACTGTGAATATTTAATTCAAGGCAAGTGCCCATTCAAAGAACAGAGTAAATATTTAAGTGTAGCTAGATTGAGGTCACATGGATCCTGATTTGTTGTGTGCTTTCTTCTTAATGGATTCAGCATTAGTCCTGTGTGGCACCCCAACCTTACATGGAAGGGAGCACACAAGGATCATAGGTCCTCGTGGTTAAAAGGAATGAAAAAAGTAAGAGGGCCTGCAAAAGCTTACAAAATTACACCAAATTACACGTTTGGCATGGATATGTGTGTGGTAATCCCTGACTTCCTATATAAGCACGGGGCAGTGGGTTTTGGATAAAAGGCTAGGATGAAAGGAAAGAGACTGAGAGAGAGAGAGAGAGAGATGGATTAAAGAGTAGGACAAAGAAAGAAAAGAAGAGGAAGCTATCACCAGTCCTAGCTCCAGCATCAACCCAGCTGATGGGGTATGCAGGTCTATGGAACACACGTGTGCCCAGGCTTTGTAGTCCTTCTCATAGTGAAGTTTCCACACCCTGGAGCTAAGTTCCTCACTCTCTATGCAAATGAGTTATGTGCAGGGCTTCAGGGATCTTGGGTGCTTTTGATCCCTCCTTACATTCCATGCCTGTTCATCAGCCTCATTCCTGCACCTCAGCTGCACTGTGCTGTGCTTAGCTCCAGGAGCCAGGACAAGGACACTTGTCCCAGTAAAGTACTGCCCTACTTCCTTCCATACGGCCCTTTTCTCCAGTCATGGTTGGTAATTGGCCATTGCTACCAACAATCCTTGGCTGGCTCCACAGCTATGTGGCTATCAGTGTTTGAGACATACATATTAGCCCCTTATCTTCTAGGCTTCCACATCCTGCAATTAGCTTAAGGCATTGTTCAAAGTGCAGAGGTGTTCTTCAAAGCCTGACTGCCTTCTGCAGGCAATCAGGCTCCTTAACATACTTTTGATCAGGCACATGCTTAAATGACTTCCTCAAGTTGGCCCAGAAATTACAGCAAGTCACAAAGTACATAGAGTGAACTGTGCAGGATCCATTTGTTCAAAGTGACAACAGTCTTGGCCCAAATGTTTACAGTGCTGACGTACCTTACAGTACTACTTGTCTGGTTTCAGTGGTTCAAGGTAGAACTCTTTGAAAAATGCTGCTATTTCTATTTTCCAAATATTTTTCCTCTATTCCTTGTCAGCTTTCCTCAACATTCATAACACTGACCTCTATTTATTACTTTTAAAGCACAGCTTTAGTATTTTTAATGTTTTATTATATTTAAAGCAGTGTTGAAATAATTTGAGCAGTAGGTTTTAGATGAAAATTCAGGTGTAGCTCTTATCAGGAAAGAGAAAGCACTGAAGGCCTCTCTCAGTGGACCTGATTCTTCATTTCCTGATTTTCATCAGTGAATGTGGTGAAGGATATAAGGATTCTGTAGGCTCTTCACCTTGCACAGATTTGTCCCAAGTTAGGGCAGCCTGTTTGCTTTCTCAGGGCATGTTTCAGGCACCAGGGCTTAAGCCATGAATTATCATAAGTTAATCCTTGGTCAGGATTTTAATTAACAAGACTAAAAAGCCTGCATTTTTGCATCTTTTCTCCAAGTCTGGAGCAAACCCAGTGAAGTTGGACAAGTGATGGTGAAATAGATTTTTTTTCTTGAAAGCTATGATCCACATGATCTTGTATCATAAAGGACCTATTTTTTGGGTTTGTGGGAAGAGCTTTAGTGGGAAGGGTTCTTTACTGGGAACTCTTCTGAGTCTGTGGACAGCACTGTCCTCACTGAAAGTCTGCCTGGGGTGCCTGGAAGGTATTAGGAGAAGAAACAGACCATGGAGCATGCCCTTGATTTCACATCAGGGAACGGGCTCTGGAGATGAGGGATGGAGAAAGGATACAAGAAGGAAGCATTGGCCAAGTGAGCTAAATGAATGACTAAGCAAGATAGGCATTGCTCCTGTAGAAGAGTTACATGCATGTTTTATGATCTTGGTGTGTCCTGTAGCAGTAAAATGGTATATGTCTTTGGTTTAGTTCTGAGGAATGTTTTGGACGAGTAGGGTTGCTTCTTTCTGACATCTGCTGGGGTTATTATAAATTGGTTCTCCACTAGTGAGCTGGTTCACAGCTGTGCAGAAGCTGCATGGTTGTATTTTCCTCACTCGGTTCTTCTAGTTACAGCCCACTAAGCTTATGAAGACAAAGACTAGTGAAAGTACTGGCATGAAGCAGAAGTCCAAGAAGGCAGAAACAAGCCTTTTCCACACTACTCTGCAAAGCCAAACAAATAAGAAATGCTGAGTTTGTTTGGTCTGCTAAGATTAGCAAGTGAAGATGACTTCTTCTTGCTACTGTACATCCACAGATGTCTACAGAACGTAACACCAACATCGAGATAAAAGAACAATATTATAATCTTGACTGTTTGCCAAGAAATGAGTTTTTAATTTCCTAGAGGCAACATTTCTGACCAGCAGCTTTGTATTATTTTTCTATCATCTTAAGATGTCATTTTGCTAACTAGCTTTTTAATTACTACATTATCAATTTTGGTAATGTACACTTCTGCAAAATCTAGAAGAGTATTTATCTACTCAATGAAGCAGTACATTGCCAAAGGATTTCCACAGATTTATTGTTTGCTGTATTGATTCTCAAAGTGAATGTCTAGCTGAAATGTTCCTGCATAAATCCAAGATTCAGGACTATGGTCAAATAGAAGCACTTGCTTGCTTACCTGATCTGTAGTTCACACAGATGTCTGAATGCTGAAGTTTACTGACAAGATGTTGACTGAGATGGCTAAGATGTTCCAGTTTTACCTGAAATTTGAAATCACTTCTTTGGAAATAGAGAAGTGGCTATTGCCATCAATAGCGTTGAGATTTATCATCAAATGCAGAAATTCCCATTGATGTAAGTGAAAACTCAGACAGGGTACAAAGATGTAAGCTGCGCCAAGAAGGTGATTTTGGGCCTCCTCTGAGAATGTAAGACCTTTGTCTGGCTTTTTCCTTTATCCATTGGACAGCTGTTTATGTACATAGGCAGTAGAAGGGGAGGAATTTTCGTTTTTGTTGGTATTTGCACTGACAT